TTGGAATACTCCTTGACTGTTTGGATTTCTCCTCCAAATTCCCCTTGTATCAAGGGCGTTCAAAAAGCCCCTGCTCTGGTTTACGAGGCGCTGTGCGCTGAACCTCCTGTGGACTGACAGGGTAAACCCTGCATATCCCGCGTGTCGCGCGGCGTCCTGGCGGCTCTCTGGCCTTTGGGAGCTCCCAGGAGGTTTGCGGACCACGCACTTGCAACCCAGGGCAGGAGGACACGCCCGACCGCATCCTCTGTTCGCGGGAGCGGCCGCGCGCGCGAGGCGCAAAGCTCCGCGCGTGGCCCTGGAGCGCCGCCCACGTCGAGGGCGCCGCGTCGGGTGCGCTCGCGCGCGCTCCCTGGTGCGCGCGCGTGCCGGAGCTCGGCCCGCCGAGGCACCCCGCCGGCCGCAGGTCGATGGCCCTCAGGGCGTGTGTGCGTGTGTGTGTGTGCGTGTGCGTGTGCGCGTGCGTGTGCGTGTGTGTTTGCGTGTGTGCGTGTGCGTGCGCGTGTGCGTGTGCGTGTGCGTGTGCGCGTGCGTGTGTGTGCGTGTGCGTGCGCGTGTGCGTGCGTGTGTGTGCGTGGGTGTGTGTGTGCGTGCGTGTGCGTGTGTGTGTCGGAGGTGGACAGACCTCCTGCCCTGACACGTCGATTGAGGAGTTGGCCGTTTTCGGTTCGCGAGGGGGCGTCGCGGCCGTCATTTTGCGGGGGTCCAGGTCCGTCGGTTTCGGCCCCAGGCCGTTTTCACTAAGGGGAGGTTCACGAAATTTGTGTGTGCGTGTGTGCGTGTGTGCGTGCGTATGTTGTGTCTGAGGGGCCGGCCGCGCGCGCGCGCTGGTGGCTCGGGGGGACCACGTTCGCCTTGTCGCTGCGCGCGAGACAGCGATCGCCCAAAAGTGTGTGTGTGTGTGTGTGTGTATGTGTGTTTACCCCGTTGGGCGTTGTGCCCTGCCGGTAGCTCCTAGCCCGTGCCGGCCATCACTTACGATGCAGCTTCGGGGGACCTCGTCCGTCCCGTGAACTGTGCCGTCTTTTCTCCCGCACCCGACTCGGAGTCGACACGCAGCCGACTCGGACTCGACGCGGATTCGACGCAGATCTGACGCTCGACACGGGCTCGACGCGGGCAGGGGCTCGATGGGGCAGACCAAAGGTCCCCCGAACCTGTGCGGGCCTCGTCGCAGATACCCCCGGCGCCTCGAGGGAGAGTCGGGGCGGAGGCCGGGCCCTGATGTGCTGGGTGCAGGGCCCGTGAGCAAGACGACTCGGGATGTCCCGGGGACAGACAGGGTGACACGGTCCCCCGAGGATGCGACGTGCCCAGACCCCCGACGTCGCGATTTTTTTAAATGACGTCGACCCCCAGGGGTCTCGACCCGTTCCCCGGGACCGGTTTTTCATCCTGCGCCGTTCTCTGACGGCCCCGAGGAGGGCCGGCAAGGGCCCCCAGAGGGCGGAAAGGGGGAGACACCTCCCGTCGTGAAGTTTTTTGTGCTGCTCGAAGGGGGTCCTGGGCCCCCCGAAGATACGGTAGAGGGAAACAATTAGCGAACACGCGGGAGGGAGACTGCGGTCGAGGTGCAACTCATCAGACCCACCGCCAACTTTGAACATTGGGGGAAGGGGGAGGCTTTCACAGATGAGTGTGGCATGAGTGTTCGCTAACTTTTTCCGAGGCCTGTATGCAGCGCGGCAGCCTCGCCCCAGGAGAGGCTCCTGCTGGCGCGGGCGGCGTGCTGCCGGGAGCCGGCGGGCGCCGGCGCGCCGGCGGCCGCGGCGGCGTCGGCGCAGGGCGCAGCGGCGGGCGCAGGCCCGGGCCGTGGCCGTCACGGGGCTCCCTCGTGAATCGCAGGCCTGGAGAGGTGGACACCAGCACTCAGCCACGCGCGGAGGGGGGATAAGGGGGAGGGGGGGAGGGCTTCTTAGAAGCATCCCTGCTTCTCAGAAGGCGCGGGCCTTATCTGTAGATGTCAGGCTGGCGCCTTCTAAGAAGCAGCCTCCTTCTAAGAAGCCTTCCCCCCCTCCCCCCACCCCCTTTTGCGCGCCGCCAGAGCACCAACATCGGCGGTGTGCCTCCTTCGAGGGAAGCAAATCCCGATCTCGGTGATGGTGGTCATATTCTGGCTTCCAAGGTGGCCGAAACATTGCCACCAACACCGAAATCTAGGATCATCTGCCCCCTGTGGAGGCGACCCCCTGTGTTGGTGTTGGTGCCAATTTCCAGGCCTCCAATCGTTGCTGCTGCTGCTGTTCCCCATCCGGTGTGTGTGTGTGTGTGTGTGTATTCCCAGACTACCTCGAGCTATGAACAAAATCATGACCAGAGGTTTTTCGCCATCTTCGGTCTCCAGGGGCCCTTACTGGGCCTCGAGGCCGTCAGAAAACGAGTCAGGATGAAAAGCTGGTCCCGGGGAATAGGTCGAAACCTCTGGAGGTCGACGTCATGAAAAAAATCATGACGTCGGGGGTCTGGGTTCCCAGACATGATCACGTGAAACAAATCACTACGGAAGGTTTTTGGTAATTTTCGACCTCCGGGGGCCCTTACCAGGCCCTGGGAGCGTCCAAGAAGGATTCGCTTGTCGCCTCTCACGCTACTCCATGCCCTCCTCTTTTCCTCCTCCTGTGATCAGGAACTGACGGTGTCCGCGTGCAGTCATTGGCCTCAAATCTTTGATTGCAGATCGGTCCTAGGTCAGACCTGCCACTGTGGCACTTGACTTTACGGCTCCGCATGTTTGTCTACCCGTCCGTGCTTCCATCTGTCTTTCTGCCTGTCCGTCTTTCCTTCAGTCCGTCTTCTTGGCTGTCTGCGTTTCTGTCTGTCTGTCTGTCTGTCTGCCTGCCTGCCTGCCTGCCTGCCTGCCTGCCTGCCTGCCTGCCTGCCTGCCTTCCTGCTTGCCTGCCTGCCTGCCTGCCTGCCTGCCTGCCCGTCTGTCTGTCTGTCTGTCTGTCTGTCCCTTTGCCCATCTGTCTCTCCTCCTGTTTGTCTGTCCGTCTCTCCATCTTTCCGTCTGCCCATCAGTCCCACGTCCTCTTTCGCCCATCTCCCCATCACCCTGGTCATCCATTCGCCATCCCCATTCGACTGCACGCAAGAGCGACACTCCGCTGGAGTGACCTTTGGTGCGGCCCCCCCCTCCCTCGCCTTCTCGAGCCGCGCACGGAAGGTCACTCTTGCCCCCGGTCACACTGGCGTGAAGCCGATCCTTCTCCCCCTTCCCGTCCTCCTCCTCCTCCTCCTCCTCCTTCGCCTCCTCCTCCTCCGCCCTCCTCCTCCTCCTACCTCATCTTCCTCCTCCTCTTCTCTCCTCCTCCTCCTCCTCCTCCTCCCCTCCTCCTCCTCCTCCTCTCCTCCTCCTCCCCCCTCCTCCTCCTCCTCCTCATCCTCCTCCTCCTCATCCTCCTCCTCCTCCTCCTCCTCCTCCTCCTCCTCCTCCCCCTCCTCCCACTCCATCCTTCCACCCCCGATGCCTCCCCGCTTCGTGAGGAGGGCCAGCTGAGACAACGGCCCCCCCCCCCTCCCCCCAGCTCAGCTTCGCTCGAAGTCGCTCCCCGGACCCCTGCCAGTGGGGACCCCCCTGGCCAGTTTTTTTGGAGGCTGACCCGGCCGTGGCGACAAGAAGCCTCCAGGAGATAAAGAATAAGAGCGAGAAACGCGGGGGAGGGCCGACACTGTCTCGAAACAGAGGTCTGGCCCTCAGGCTCTGCTAGGGGGTCTCCAGCCAGATTTAAGTCGGGCCTGTCCCTCTACAGGAGGAGTTCCCAAAATAGTCGAAACATAGTCAGGGGACGTTTTTATTGTTGTTGTTGTGGTTGTGGTTGTTGTTGTTGTTGTTGTTGTTGTTGTTGTTGTTGTTGTTGTTGTTGTTGTTGTTGCTATCATTATTGCTGTTGTTGAGGATGATTATTATTACTATTATCATTATTAGCATTCTTACTAGCATTCTTATTCTTATTATTATTCTCATTATTATTATTATTCTCATTATTATTATTATTATTTGTATTATTCGTATTATTAGTATTGTTATTATTAGTATTATGATTATTACTAGTATTATCATTATTAGTAGTGCTATGCATATCACTCTTCTTCTTATTCTTCTTCTTAATATTATTATCATTATCATTATTCTTATTATTACTATTATTATTATTGGCATTATTATTATTATTATTATTATTACTATACATGTATATTTGTATATGTTGTTATCAGCAATACAATGCAATTATGGACTATTTTTAGGATTCGTCCAAAATCCGCCTGTACCAGGACATGCCCGACCTAAAGCTAGATGCCCGCCGCGCCCGCCGCGGCCGCCGCTGCCGTCCGGCTCAAGGGTTCGGGCGGTACTCTTCCCGCCCCTCGTGTGCACGAGGCGGCTGTGCCTGTGCGCCTGCCTCCGCCTGGAGGTCCGCCCGGCATGGCGGCCGCGGACCACATGCCGAAGGAGGTGGAGAGACGCATCTCGAAGACGAGAAAACGCCATAAACATAAACTTTTTGCGCTCCGCGCGGACTTCTTGGATCCGCGCTGGGCCCCCCGGGGCTGCGCCTCCAGCGCTGCCCCTGGCGCGCTCCGCGCGCCAGGGAGGGGGGTCCAGCGCAGATCCAAGAAGTCCGCGCGGAGCGCCAACAGCTTATATTTATGGCGTTTTTCCTTCTTCTAGCCTCCGAGCACTTCCAGGAAATAAGGTCTGCGTGGACTGCGACAACAGGAATCCGCAGTGGGCCAGCGTTTCCTACGGCTGCCTGATGTGCCTCGAGTGCTCGGGCGTCCACCGCTCCCTCGGAGTGCACCTGTCCTTCGTGCGCTCGGTGGCGATGGACTCCTGGACGGAGAAGCAGATCTCAGCCATGGAGATGTCCGGCGGCAACGAGAAGCTGGTCGAATATTTCAGCTCCAAGGGCATGAGCAAGAGCACGAAGATAGAGGACAAGTACAAGAGCGTGCAGGCGGAGTGGTACAAGACCCGCCTGTCGAGGCAGCTGGAGGGGCAGGCCCACAGCATCCCCGAGCCAGGCAAGCACACCGCCAGCGCTCCTCTCGCGGGCGCCCAGGGCGTCGTGGCTCCGTCGGACCAGGCCGCCGCGCTCCGCACCGCCTCCTGCTCCAGCACCTCCGCGCCCGCCGCGCAGCCCTCCAGGGCAGCCGGCCCCGAGGCCAGCCCGCCGGCAGCCCGGCAGCCGAAGGCGGCCTTCGACTTCGACGACTTCGACAGCTTCTTCGCGGACGCCTGTGCGCCCGCGGCGCCCGCGGCGCCGGAGCCCGCGGCGCGCTCCCAGAGCGCCCACCAGGTCGGCGGCGCCGCGGCGGCGCCTGCCGCCCCGGAGCCCCGCGAGCTGGAGCGCGGGCGGAGCGCCCCCGCCGCTCCCGCGCCGAGGCAGCCCGCGGCTCCGCCCGCGCCGCAGGGCGCAGAGGCCGGCCGCGCGCGAGAGCGGCCCCCCTCGCCGGAGTGACCTCTGGTCGCTGCGGGCCCGCGGGGGGGGATGCCCCCAGCGGCGGCCTGCACGCCCGGGTGCCCCCTCCGCGGCCCCTTGTCCCAGAGCGGCGCACCAGAGGTCACTCTTAGTCTTGAGCCCAGGGGTCGCTGTTCGGGGGTTCGTAGGGGAAGGGTCATCCCAAGGCGGGGCTGGGGAACGGGCCCAGCTGGATGCCCCCGTATAACGCGTTTCCTTCTTCCAGGGGCCGTTTGGAGCCGGTTTCCTTCCAACCCCACCTCTGCCCCAACCCCACCTCTGTGCCCCCCCGAGCTGTGGCGCGCAGCCGAGCAGGAGCGGGAGGTGATTGCCATCAAGAACATGAGCCTCAAGGCCGAGGCCCCGAAGCCGCGGCCGAAAGCCCAGGAGCCACCCGTCGGCGACGACTTCTTCGCCAGCTTCGGGCTGGGGTCCTGAGTCGAGCCTGGCACATCCGGTTGCCTGCCTGCGTTCGATTGATGCGCAGTGGCCTCTCTGGCAAGAGTACAGTGAAGGCTGAGATCTACCCGTCCACTTTATGGCTTGCCTGGCAAAAGATCGGTCAACGCCGTGGCCCACCCCACTCCGTGCTGGGAGCAAGATCACCTGGACTGGCGACTCTGCTTTCGCACCTCCTCTCCGGGCCCGACGTCGTCGAGACTTGCCAATACGCACCGGCGCCAACCCTGGCCAGGCCCCTCCTGGGTCCAAGAGTGCTGCAGGGAGCCCCCGAGCAGCAGTGCCGGTGTATGATTGGCAGTCTCCAGTTTGGCCACACGCAGAAGCGACCCTTCGCCAGAGTGGCCTCTGGTGCGCGACCTTCGAGGGTCGCGGGTAGGTCAGCTGCCACTGCCGCATCGCATGCACCACGCACCACGCCAGCTCCCTTCTGGTGGCTCTCCAACACCGCGCCAGCTGCCACTGCCGCATCGCATGCAGCCATCGGTCACCGAGCGCGTTCCACTACTCGCAAAGTGCCTACTCGCCAATGTCCGAAAGACATATGTCTGCCTCGATGTCATTTGTCGTAGATCCCCAGCAGCGGATCCAGGCCATCTGCGAGTAGTTACTTTGCGCGCAGTGGAACGCGCCTATCTAATCGGTAAGCCGCGCACCAGAGGTCGCTCTTGCCCTGGGGATCACTCCTGCGTGTAGCCGTCTGGCGCCACCCACTCCGAGGAGGAGCGGGAGGAGGAGGAGGAGGAGGAGGAGGAGGAGGAGAAGGAGGGGGAGGAGGAGGAGGAGGAGGAGGAGGGGGAGGAGGGGGAGGAGGAGGAGGAGGAGGAGGAGGAGGAGGAGGAGAGGAGGAGGAGGAGGAGGAGGAGGAGGAGGAGGAGGAGGAGGAGGAGGAGGAGGAGGTGGCATCTCCCGCTGTGGCCCGCTTGGCTTCGGCGCGCGGCCGCCGGTCGGAGCTTCCCGTGGGAGCGCGCAGCGAGCGCTGCGCTGCCCGCTGCGCGCCGCGTGCCGCCCGCTTCGATTTTTGCACTCGGCCGAGCCCCGGCGGCGACCCCGGCGACGAGGCAGCCCCCGTGGGCGGCCCAGTGCAGAGCGCGGCCGAGGAGCCACGCCGTGCCTTTGGAAGCAGAAGGGGACGGAGATTTGGATCCGAGGCGGGGGCTGAGCCATCACCAGCGCCTGGGGGATCGATCTTCGCGGACCTCCACGGGCGGTGGATGTGGATGTGTATATACATATATATATATATACATATGTGTATATATATATATACACAGGATTTGACCACCTCGCTTCGCTTCGCATTTGAAACATTGGTCGCATGGCGCCAGCGAGGCGCGCCGCGACTGGTATTCGCCAGCACCGCGGTGTGTTTCGGCAATGGGGCACATGGGGCACACAGGGCTGATAGGACTTATGGGCTCATCTGGGTCCGAGGTTTGAAGGGATTTCCGCCGCCATTGGGGCCCCAAAGCTCGGAGCGCGCGCGAATGTGGAAGAGGGGTACTTCGGGCAGCGCGGCTCCTGGGGATTAGGAGGTTCCGAGAGCCCGCAGCCGTGCTTGGGGATTAGGAGGTTCCGAGAGCCCGCAGCCGCACTTGAGTGCAGAGGATTCCTTGGGCTGATGAGCTCATTGGGCGTGGTGGCTCGTAGGGTCCTTGGCATCACAGAAGCCACTGGCTCTTGGGCCCCGTAGAGCGGGTCGTCTCGTAGGGTTTGAAAGAACGCGGCAAGAAGAGGCACCATGCGCAGCGGAAGAAGCAACAATGATGATGGTGACACCGCGGTAAGGCTAGCACCAAGCGTCACGACGACGTTCCAGAGAGTGACTGTGATCAAGTTGGTTTTTCTGCCCCCGCGAGGGGCGTCACGGGGTAGGGCTTGCGAGGCTCATGGGACCCATAAGGGTCATTGTGCCAATGGGGCGCAGGCGGCCCATCGGGCTCAGAACGGGTCGTGTGGGTCGCAAGGCTCATGGGGCCGACGGGGCTCATATGGCCGACGGGGCTCATAGGGCTCTGAGGGGTCGCACCGGCCGTGGAGCCTATGAGGCCGATAGGGCTCGCGGAAGCAGGGCAGGCGGAGGGGAGCGAGAGAGAGAGAGAGAGAGAGAGAAAGAGGGAGGGAGATGGAAAGAGCGAGAGAGAGAGAGAGAGAGAGAAAGAGAGAAAACGAGAGAGAGAGAGAGAGAGAAGAGAGAGGAGATAGGAAGGGGTGGAACTCATGTGGCCCATGGGCTCGTAGGGGTCGAAAAGGCTCGCGAGGTTCATGGCAGATGTGTCTCGGGGGTTTCTTGAAGGGCGCATGGGGCTCATCGGGCCCGAAAAGTGTCGTAGGGGTGGCAGGGTTGGGAAGGGCCGTGTAGATTCATTTGCTGATACGGATGATGGGGCTCGTGAGGGTTAGAAGGCGTATGAGGTCGTGAGGAGCATAGGGTCGTACGGCGCATGGGGCTCTTGAGCGTACGTGTTGCATAGGGCTCGTAGGGGTCATAGGGCAGATGAGTCTGATGGGTCTCTGAGGGCTCGTAGCGCTGACAGGGGTCGTAGGGTTCGCAAGGCTCGAAGGGCTGGTACGGTCGTCGGGCTCATCGGTGTCGCATGGCTCAGGGGCTCATCGGGCTCATGGGCTGGTAAAGCTCATGGACCTCGGTGGGCTTTGGGGATGGGCGTCTCGGGGGCCTCTTGGAGGGCGCATAGGGATTGTAGGCCTCATAGGGCTCAGAGGGATCGAACGGCTCATAGCGCCATCTGAGCCCGTCTTGCGTGGCTTTCTGGTCAGTTTCGCGGCCTTCTTAGGCCGTCTCGGGGTCTTCTTGAAAGCCAGCTGCGCCGCTCGTACTGTTTGAGGACGCGATGTCGCGCGCTCAGGGTTTGGAAGCGTCTTGGTGTTTAGACTTTGGCAAGTTATGAAAAACAATATACCACGCAACCTCTCGACAATGAACGAATATGGCATCTGAAGACCTTCGTGGGGATCCCTTTGTGCCTCTGTAGGGCCGTGTGGCGGCCTTCCTGGCGCCCGAACCGCCGCCGTCACCAGCGGCGCGAGGTCCTGGGCCGTGAGAGCTCCTCTAGCCCGCGCAGCTCCCGCCATCCCAGGGACGGCGGCCGAGGCGGGCATGCAACCGCTTCAGCCAAAATGAGTTTCCCCGAAGGTCTTCCGGAATGCGGATTGACATGCATGGACTTCTCGCTGCCCATAATGCGTTCAGCGCTATGGGCACTTCTTCACTTCCCGTGCAAACCAGCTGTGGTCCACTACTTCAGTGGAGCAGTGAGCTCGTCAAGGCCTGGGGCCTGCTAGAAACTGAGCGCGCGCGAAGCGCCCGCGATGGTTCTAGTATATATATATATATATCTATGTATATATACATATATACAGATGTCTTGCTCTCTGTCTGTCTGTCGGTCTGTCTGTCTGTCTGCATGTATGTATGTACATATGGTTGTTTGTTTGCTTGCTTGCCTGTAGGTATGACTGCATGCATGCAAGTATCTGTATACACACATATATGTGGTGTAGGTATGCAACCATTCATGTATATATGCAGATCTATACATGCAGGCATGCATGTAACCATGTATGTAGGCATGCATGCACACTTGTATGTATATGCGTACATCTACATGTGTACATAAACGTACATCTATGCATGCATGCGTGCCTGTCTGTCTGTCTTTCTTCTTGTAGGTATATTAGTATGCATGGGTGTATGCATGAATGTATGTGTATATAGGTATAGTTGTATGTTTGGATGTCTGTATGCTATTTGTATGTATGTATACATGTATGCACGCATGCATTTGTGTACGCATGCAGGTATGTCTGTGTACCCACGCATACATATATATGTGTGTGTGTATATATATATATATAGATATGCGTGTTTTCATGTATGCATGTGTATATATATAGATATGTATGTGTGTATGTGTGTATGTATATATGTGTGTATGCATGTATGCACGTATGTATGTCAGTATGTATGTGAGTCTGCGTGCATGTTTGCAAGTATGCATGCACGCGTGCATGCATGTATTAAGATCTGTGGGTAGGTCGGTAGGTCGGTAACTGGTTAGGTGCATGTATGTATGTCTGTATGTACGTACGTATGCGTGTATGTATTTATATGTCGTGCATGTACGTGCGTATGCACGGGTGCATGCATTGTATGCATGTACTTTTGCAGGTGTGTATGTATGTATGTGTGTGTATATGTATGTATGTATGTCATTCAGGTATGTACGTATGCATGTACACATGTATCTATGTATGCGTGCATGGACATACATATGTCTGCCTGCATGCATGTACGCATGTGTATGTGTATGTATGCATCTAAGTAGGTAGGTGTACACATGCTGTACGTATGTATGTACGTATGCATGCACGTCTATACACATGTACGTATGCATGTTTTCCATGCGTGTATGTAGATGTGCATGCATGCATGCATGCACCTATCTCTCTTTCTCTCTCTCTCTCTATATATATGTGTGTATGTATGTATGCATGCGTGTATGTGTGCACGTATATATACAAGCACGCATGCATGAACATCCATGCATTCATGTATGCACGCATGGATGTGTGTGTGCCTACATACATATATATATATACACACACGCATACACACGTACATATATACATACACCACCCGCGGGGACACCATGACGTCGGTTCCAGGCAGTGGATATGGAGAAGTCCCCGCCTCGCGTCGGAGGAGGCGGGGGGATCCTTCTTTGGACCCGCGGCGCTCGCCCCAGGCCCGCTCCATCGCCAATGGAGGAGAGGAGTCCCGAGGAACACAGAACCAGGCTCTGGGGCTCCCTGCGTGGGGGCTAGCTCTCCCTCCCGGGCCGCCCCTCGGCGGCCCCTTTGGGCCCCGTGGAGGGCCCCATGGGGCACCGAGGCTGGCGGCGATTCTCCAGGACTTCCTTCCTCCAGGGCTCGTGCTGCCGTCCGCCGCGGCGGCCCAG